ATTAGTGCTAGTTATAGGACGGGGTGAACTTCTCTAGAAGAGGCGGAGAGAAAAAGAAACGAAAGTTATTCCATGTATTGGTATATATAACATACAGTAATAATTAGGATATTTTTTAAAACAAAATAATCATTAAATTAAGATATAATCAGATATGACCATTTATTGATGAAGATATGATCATTCATTGTTCAAGATGTGTTCATTCATTCTTCTGAGACTGTGTTCCTGTTTGTACAGTACTACTATTAAAACTCTTCTTGTTTGTGAATGGTTTCGAAACAGGGTTGGGGGGTTTAACATCATTGATCAAAATATTGTTATTCAGTAATCAAGATATTTTAGAAGTACATTTATTGCTTCTAGATATAAATACATGATAAATAAAGAGTGTTAATAAAGGAGAGGAAAATGAGTAGGACTTCTCTGGTACCAGGATCCGATACTATTTATTTGCGGATTTCAAAATCCTCGTTCAGGGATTTCTTCCTCCACAACATGCAATATGATCATTTACTGATCAAGATATGATCATTGATCATACTTTGATCATGATAGATCATTCATTGATGAAGACATGATCATTGTTCATCCTTTAATCATGATATGATCATTCATTGATCAATATATGAGCATTCATTGACCAAGATATGATCATTCATTAATCAAGATATGATCATTCATTGATCAAAATATTATCATTCATTGACTATGATATGATCATTCATTGATCATTATATGATTATTAACTATTCAGTAATCAAAATATGATCATTCATTAATAAAGATATGATTTCCTTAGGTCAAGATATGATCATTCTATGGTCAAGATATATATGATCATTCATTGATCGAGATATATTTAATTTGAGGATACTTGTTATTTTCCATGTTTGACTCTAAAATGTTGTTTAAAAGATAATCAAGTTCAACCAGGATATGACTTAAGTTTAAGATGCTGTGTGTCCAAACAAACATGATAAGTCTTCTTGAGATATAAACATTTATTCATTCATAAACTTTATATTAAAAGTTTTAATCTTTCAACAATAATAATTAGATACATAGCTGTTCGACGCATTTTCAAAATGGGTTCTGAATGGGTTTCCAGCGAACGAAACGTTTCGCTAAAAAATGGAAAAATAATGAGAAAGTTTTGTTCGTATTTCGCAAACTTTTTCGCGAAAATGAATGAAGCGAAAAATGCGAAAACAAAGCGATATTTGGCGGAAAAAAGATTTCGCGATAAACATTTTCGTAAAATATTTTCGGGACATTTTTTTCACAAATACCATGAGTGTTGAAGCTGTAACAATTAATTGAGCAAAAAAACTTGTTGAATTCTCTGCTCTGATAGCTCAATATTTGAAGTTTTATTATGTCATATAAATAATTTTTCTTCCTTCACTTAAATAAATGTTTGATGAAGAGAATTTGATTGCTCTATCTTATAGGTACGTTCACCCAAATCCAGCTAGCCATGAGCCAAAATACTAGCGGAGAGTTATTTAAACCAAAATACTAGGTGAGAGTTATATAAACAAAAATACTAGCGGNCGGAAAACTATGTCTACCAAAATACTAGCGGAGAGTTATATAAACCAAAATACTAGCGGAGAGTTATTTTAACCAAAATACTAGCGGAGAGTTATTTAAACCAAAATACTAGCGGAGAGTTATTTAAACCAAAATACTAGCGGAGAGTTATTTAAACCAAAATACTAGCGGAGAGTTATATAAACCAAAATACTAGCGGAGAGTTATATAAACCAAAATACTAGCGGAGAGTTATATAAACCAAAATACTAGCGGAGTAATTCATTTTTTCAACTACTTTTCCTGTCCATTTATAAACCACGAGTTGAAACGGAAAAATTTAATGATTTTATTTTATTAAATTATCTGTTATCCAGATGTATTGATTTCAAATAAAAGATATTTATTTGAAATCAATTATTCTTTATTTATAGGACATACATATAGATAAGGACAATTTTTATTAGAAAATCACAATTTGTGCAAATCTGAAAAAATGTGCAATTTTTACTAATGGCTCCCGGTTTGTTCCTTGTAAATTTCTGTTTTTAATTTCATAAGCAGGTCTCATTTTGGTTATTACTCACTATAAATATAGAAGAGTTATACTTTTTAATTGATTTCTGAAAATACGCAAAATATCTTGGAGTTCTCGAGAACAAAAACATCAAAAACTCTTTTCGCCAAATGATAATACTAAAAGCCAGTTTGCGGATTTTTTCGACATTTTCGGACATTGGGATTCTAATCCTAGAAATTTTAGCAGTCTGAGCGTTTTGAAAACAAACATTGTAACTGGGTCAATCATGTTTTTTGGGAAAGGGGAAGGGGAGGGGGGGTTAAAGGAAGTAGGCGTATATAGGAGGG